GTCCATGGAGAGAGTGCAGAATTCTTTGATGAGGGCGTAGAGGGTGGCAACGTCTTGCCGATCGAAGAGGTCGACGAGGAGTCGCCACAGGTGGGAGGAGGAGGTAGGTGAGAGCTCGCGTTTGAGGGAGGAGGGGACGGTGGCAAGAAGAATGGCAAGCGCGCGCCGATCGGCAACTCGCCAGGCAGTGATTTTCGTGGTGTAGTTGGCAAGGTCTGCGGTGTAGGTGTCAAGGTCCTCCTGGTACTTGCTGTAGCGGGCAGCGGCGTCGTCATAAATGCGCTTCTCGTCCTCGTAACGCAGTTGCTGGCGCAGGTGGTCTTGGAGATTGGTGCGGTAGGTGCGGATGGCGGTCTCTGAGCTCTGCGGATCGTTGACATTCGGTGCAAAGGTGGGAGGATCACCAGGGGGAGAGGGCTCGGCGCCAGGGTGGGTGGGGACAGGTCCAGTGGGAGCGGTGGGGGCCATGGGCTGAAGTCCACCACCTTCCTGGAAGACAACCGAGCGAAGGTTGTAGCCGCTGATCACAACAGAGGAGAGGAGAACCTCGACCGAGTGAGCGTAGGAGTGCCAATTAGCAGCAGTGTTGTCGGGTAGCAACTCGAGTGCATCAACAGTAGCAAGGTCGACAGAAGAATCCGACGATGCCATAGAGACGAGGGTGGGTGGAAACAAGGGCAGGAGGAGGATGGGGCGAGGGTATTGCTGCTGGTGGCGCTGCTGGTCCTGCTACTGGTGCCGCTGCTGGTCCTGCCGCTGGTGCCGCTGCCGGTCCTGCTGCTGGTGCCGCTGCTGGTCCTGCTGCTGGTGCCGCTGCTGATCCTGCTGCTGGTGCCGCTGCTGGTCCCGGTGCTGGTGCCGCTGCTGGTCCTGCTGCTGGTGCCGCTGCTGGTCCTGCTGCTGGTGCCGCTGCTGCCGCTGCTGAACCTGCTGCTCGTAGGATGGGAGGAGGAAGGGAGGAGCGGAAGGTGGGGGAAGGTGGAGGAGGAGGAGGGGGGGAGCGATGTTATGGGGGAGGCAGGGGGAAGGGTGCTGCTGTTGGCGTCGCTGCAGATGCCGCTGATGATGCTGCTGTGGGTAGGGACGAGGAGGGCAGCCCTGTGGCAGATCCGAGCGCGGGAGGAGTGGATCTGGGCGCGGAAAGTGCAGATCTGGTCGCGAGGTGTGCAGATCTGGGCGCGCAGAGCATATTTTTGGATGCGCGGAATGCAGATCTGGTCGCGCTGAGTGCAGATCTGGTCGCGCGGAGTGCAGATCTGGTCGCGCTGAGTGCAGATCTGGTCGCGCGGAGTGCAGATCTGGATGCGCGGAATGCAGATCTGGTCGCGCTGAGTGCAGATCTGGTCGCGCGGAGTGCAGATCTGGATGCCCGGAATGCAGATCTGGTCGCGCGGAATGCAGATCTGGTCGCGCTGAGTGCAGATCTGGATACGCGGAATGCAGATCTGGATGCGTAGAATGCAGATCTGGTAACGAAATGTGCAGATCTGGGTGCAGGAGGAGTAGATCTGGGCGCGGGAGGAGTAGATCTGGGCGCGGGAGGAGTAGATCTGGGCGCGGGAGGAGTAGATCTGGACGCTGGAATTGCAGATCCGAGCGCGAGGAGAGCGGATCAAGGCGCTGGGAGGGCAGATCTGGACGCTGGGAGGGCAGATTTGGGCGCTGGGAGGTCAGATCTGAGCGCTGGGAGGGCAGATCTGGGCGCTGGGAGGTCAGATCTGGGCGCTGAAGTTGCAGATCTGGGCGCTGGAGTTGCAGATCTGGACGTGCGTGGAGCAGTGCCTTGGAGGGCTGCGCCTTATGGGGCGCGCGGGGAGGGAGGACAGCGCCTAAAGGGCGCGCGAAGAGATGGCAGTTCCGTTCTAGAAAGCTAGATCTGAGGGACGGGGAGGAGAGGGTGGCCTAAGGACCGAGGGATGAAGGCGTGAGCCATTAGCTCATGATACCATGTTGAAGGAGAGAATTGATCAATTGAATAATGAGCCAAGAGGCCCTTTAGTACAAACAATGAGCAAGAGAGAGATGAGAGGGAAGCTTACCCGATTGGCCAATATGTTGACCAATGGGTGAGCTTGCTTGTGGCCCAAGCAACCACAAATGTGTGTTGGTTGGGATTGGTTGAGTTAAGGACCAATCCCAACCAACCACAAAATGTGGTTGGAGGGTACACTAAACAACCCCCCAATTTATAAATGTGCTACACATCTAATTCTAGCCTATGTATGTTGTATAAGATATGAAATTACAACAGTTACATGGGACAGGGCCGGACGGGAAAAGCATACCAAGAAGCACATTCAAGAAGAAACATGCGTAGAGAGAGCAGTGGGAGGGAACACCAACAGACACATCACAAAGGGCAAAAGGAGGGAAGCGTTATAAGGGGTGAGAATCTCAACTGGGTAGCAGTGGGAGGGAAGGGGCGGCAGCAGCGCCATGCTGGCCAATGGGAGGCTGCCAACTCGCGCTGACCTCAGCTGCTGCTGCGACTCCACTGATAAGACCTGATTGGTGGAGGGCGGATTGCAGGGACAGAGGTTCAGAGGAAGACGTTGGGAGGGGAGGATGGGAGAGAGGATGGAAGAGAATCTGAGAGAGAGGGAGCTACAGAGAGCCATAAACATGAGCTGAGCTCACTTCACTTCACCATGCCATCAAGCCCAATCACCAACCCTCCACGAACCACTTCCATGCCACGGCAACCCAGCCTCAACTACCACTTCCATGCCACGGCAACCCAACCTCAACTACCACTTCCATGCCACGGCAACCCAACCTCAACTACCACTTCCATGCCACGGCAACCCAACCTCAACTACCACTTCCATGCCACGGCAACCCAACCTCAACTACCACTTCCATGCCACGGCAACCCAACCTCAACTACCACTTCCATGCCACGGCAACCCAACCTCAACTACCACTTCCATGCCACGGCAACCCAACCTCAACTACCACTTCCATGCCACGGCAACCCAACCTCAACTACCACTTCCATGCCACGGCAACCCAACCTCAACTTTCCCTTCACCGTGCCATCACCACACCATCACGCCATCAGTGTTAGATCACAGCATGTATATGGGTAGACCTATTCGTGTACACCCAAATCATGGGTGTACACGTTGAATAGGACGTCCAACATTGTTTGGCCACCAAGGTTGGGGCCCGCAAGCAACCCATGCGACAATCATTGTTGGGGGGCCAACATTGGTGGCCAAACCCTCCAATGTTTGGCTCCTCCAGTTATTGGTTCAACCCCAGTTATTGGTTCAACCCCAGTTATTGGTTCAACCCCAGTTATTGGTTCAACCCCAGTTATTGGTTCAACCCCAGTTATTGGTTCAACCCCAGTTATTGGTTCAACCCCAGTTATTGGTTCAACCCCAGTTATTGGTTCAACCCCAGTTATTGGTTCAACCCCAGTTATTGGTTCAACCCCAGTTATTGGTTCAACCCCAGTTATTGGTTCAACCCCAGTTATTGGTTCAACCCCAGTTATTGGTTCAACCCCAGTTATTGGTTCAACCCCAGTTATTGGTTCAACCCCAGTTATTGGTTCAACCCCAGTTATTGGTTCAACCCCAGTTATTGGTTCAACCCCAGTTATTGGTTCAACCCCAGTTATTGGTTCAACCCCAGTTATTAGTTCAACCCCAGTTATTGGTTCAACCCCAGTTATTGGTTCAACCCCAGTTATTGGTTCAACCCCAGTTATTGGTTCAACCCCAGTTATTGGTTCAACCCCAGTTATTGGTTCAACCCCAGTTATTGGTTCAACCCCAGTTATTGGTTCAACCCCAGTTATTGGTTCAACCCCAGTTATTGGTTCAACCCCAGTTATTGGTTCAACCCCAGTTATTGGTTCAACCCCAGTTATTGGTTCAACCCCAGTTATTGGTTCAACCCCAGTTATTGGTTCAACCCCAGTTATTGGTTCAACCCCAGTTATTGGTTCAACCCCAGTTATTGGTTCAACCCCAGTTATTGGTTCAACCCCAGTTATTGGTTCAACCCCAGTTATTGGTTCAACCCCAGTTATTGGTTCAACCCCAGTTATTGGTTCAACCCCAGTTATTGGTTCAACCCCAGTTATTGGTTCAACCCCAGTTATTGGTTCAACCCCAGTTATTGGTTCAACCCCAGTTATTGGTTCAACCCCAGTTATTGGTTCAACCCCAGTTATTGGTTCAACCCCAGTTATTGGTTCAACCCCAGTTATTGGTTCAACCCCAGTTATTGGTTCAACCCCAATTATTGGTTCAACCCCAGTTATTGGTTCAACCCCAGTTATTGGTTCAACCCCAGTTATTGGTTCAACCCCAGTTATTGGTTCAACCCCAGTTATTGGTTCAACCCCAGTTATTGGTTCAACCCCAGTTATTGGTTCAACCCCAGTTATTGGTTCAACCCCAGTTATTGGTTCAACCCCAGTTATTAGTTCAACCCCAGTTATTGGTTCAACCCCAGTTATTGGTTCAACCCCAGTTATTGGTTCAACCCCAGTTATTGGTTCAACCCCAGTTATTGGTTCAACCCCAGTTATTGGTTCAACCCCAGTTATTGGTTCAACCCCAGTTACTGGTTCAACCCCAGTTATTGGTTCAACCCCAATTATTGGTTCAACCCCAGTTATTGGTTCAACCCTAGTTATTGGTTCAACCCCAGTTATTGGTTCAACCCCAGTTATTGGTTCAACCCCAGTTATTGGGCTGGGGTCCCCATCTCATTGGTTGGTCAGCCAATAATGGTGGGGGGAAACCCTAACTTTGGTCACTCACCGCATGCCCTATTTGTACTGCTTTCCTCAATATACCAACTCTTAAGTTCACCTCTTATCCCAAGTATGGGATTTTCACAATCAGCCCCCTCTAACCTTCACCATGCTATCAGCGCCTGCAATTGTGAGCAGCAAGTCGCATGACTCTGTATGCTCTGCCAGGGCCACTGCCAGTCTGCCACCACCGCCCCCCAATGCGCCTTCACCCACCTCACACCACTTACACACTAAGAGCCTCCCTCACCTTCACCATGCCATCGGCGCCCGCAGTGGTGAGAAGCAAGTCGTGTGACTCTGCATGTTCTGCCAGTGCCACTGCCACCACCGCTCCGCGATGTGCCTTCACCCTCCGCACTCTCGCCCTCCTCCTCCCACTCCCACTACCGCTGTTGCTGCTGCTCGTCTCACTGCTACCTATGCCACCTTCTCTTCTGCTCGCCTCGCCATTCTTGTTGCTGCTCACTGCACTGCTCACTCCGCTGCTTTCCATGCTGCTTCTGCTGCCACCCCCCTTGACACTCCCTTCACTCTCACCCGTGCTAATACCACCAGAGCACGGGTCCACAGGTGAGGGATGAAAGGCAGGGAAGGGCGCAGTAGGGGAGAAGGGAGGCGAGCAGACAGGCGGCTCTTCCCGTCCTCGCCCCACACCAACCTCCCCCAGCCACTCCCTTAGAGCCACCATTTCCTCGCTCTCCCTCATCGCTGCTTCTCTTGCAAACCCCGGTGTGGATCTCGGCCCTATGACAATATCTGCTGCATTACCTGCAGCACCCACAGCACCCACAGCACTAACCGCACTCACTGCACTTGCAGCACGTGCAGCGGCTGTGGCACCCTTACCCTGTGCTACTCGCCTGGCGTTGAAACTGCCCAGCCCCACCGCCCCCTGCAGCAGTGCCTTCAGCCTCCCACTCTCGTCTTCTGCTGCTGTCATTCCGCCACTCCTCATCATGCCACCTGTGCCATCTGTCTCGCTGCTTCCACAATCAGCCTCGTCAGCTGTGCTGTCTGACGTGGTGCTGACCTGGCGCATTACACTGGTAATATCTGCAGCTGATGCTGACGGTGCTGGTGCTGCTGGCTCTAGTGATGCTGCTCCTTCTACTGCTGCATCTGCTCTTGCTGTTGCCGTTCCTTCAGTTGTCTCTAACCTCATCATGCCAGCTGTAGCTGTTCCCCCTGCTCCTGTCACTGCAGCACCCAGTGCTGCTGACTCTACTCCTGCTGCCAGTGCTGCTGACACATCTCCAACCTCTGTACGCAAAACACTCGCTGCTGCTGCTGCTCCAGGTACCGCCGCTGCATCATCCGCGGTCCATCCGGTGTCAGCGGCAGCAGCAGCGGCATCATCACTGCAAGCATCACGACTAGAAGCACCACCAGCTGCATCAGTCCCACTGGTGGCCAGAGCAGAACCAGTGCCACCACTACCACTGGTGGCTCGATCGGAGTCAACAGCACTCGAATCAACACCAGTGCTGCCACCAGCACCACTGCCAGCAACAGCAGGTGGAGCAGTAGCAGCAGGAGCAGCAGCAGGAGTAGCAGTGACATCAGCAGCAGTAGCCAGCAGCAGCAGCGGCGGAGGGCAGGAGAGGCAGGAGACGCATGAGGAGGTGGACAGAGGTGGAGGGGTCACAGGAGGGCAGCGAGTCAAGGCTGGATGTGGCACGTGGGGAGCGCTGCGGGTGGGGATGGATGAAGAGCTGCCTTGGCGTTTGGCCAAACTCGTTGATCTGTCAAGGGCATTGGGGGGGGGAGAAGAACGGGAAAGTGGAGGCACATCAACAGCAGCAGCAGCAGCAGCAGCGGCGGAGGGCAGGAGAGGCAGGAGGTGCACGAGGAGGTGCACGGCAGTGGAGGGGTCACAGGAGGGCAGCGAGTCAAGGCTGGATGTGGCACGTGGGGAGCGCTGCGGGTGGGGATGGATGAAGAGCTGCCGAGGCGTTTGGCCAAACTCGTTGATCTGAATAGCATTTGGGGAACAATGGGGAATGATGGGGAAGGATGGGGAAGATTAGGGTGGTTTTTTAGTCGACTCAGAATGCCGGTGGGGATGGACGAAGGAAGAAATGCCACAGCGCTTGGCCAAACGCGTTGATCTGATAAAAAGGGCATTTGAGAAACTATGGGAAACATGAGCAACAGGGTGAGTGAGGGGCAGGAGGTGGGCGGCAAGAGGGCCAGACGGTTCATAGTTGAGAACGCTTAGCAAGAACATGAAACACAAGGCAGAAACTGGAGATGCTTTGTCAGGTGCTTTCTGAGGTGTCAATCGCACCTGGGTCTCAAAGCCTCTCTTTTCCACGAAGCTGCTGAGCGAGTCGAGGTCCACTGCGCCCTCGTAGGTGAGCGGATGAAAGAGATTGTCTGCCTCCTCTGCTGCCTGGTGAATTAGTGAGTGAGGGAGTGCGAGAGGATAATGAAACAGATAAGTCAAAGGTGGTCAGTGAATGAGTCGAGGTCCACTGCGCCCTCGTAGGTGAGCGGATGAAAGAGATTGTCTGCCTCCTCTGCTGCCTGGTGAATTAGTGAGTGAGGGAGTGCGAGAGGATAATGAAACAGATAAGTCAAAGGTGGTCAGTGAATGAGTCGAGGTCCACTGCCCCCTTGTAGGTGAGCACGAGGAACAGATTGTCCGCCTCCTCTGCTGTCTAGTGGGTTGGTGAGTGAGGGATGGGGGTGATTGATGATGCAGGAGTGTTAGATACATGGTGGTCAGGGAATCAAGTCAAGCTCCACTGCGCCCTCATAGGTGAGCGGGTGAAAGAGGTTGTCCGCCTCCTCTGCCTGCTGCCTGGTGGGTTGGAGGTGCAGTGAGTGGCAGGAGTGAGAGACAGTGAGGATACAGAACTGTTAAGCATAACAAACAAAGTGCTGAGCGAGTCAAGCTCCATTGCACCCTCATAGGTGAGCGGATGGAACAGATTGTCCACCTCCTCTGCCTGCTGCCTGGTGTGTGCGTGGTACAGCAATGGAGGGATGGGAGCAAGAGACGAACAGTAAGGGATGAGAGTGAGTGAGGCTACGAAACTGTTTAGTCAAAGGTGGTCAATTAGTGAGTTGAGGGATGGGAGCGAGTGAGGTGCAGTGAGGGATGGGAGATGATAGCAAAGAAAGTGTTGCAGCAGAGAGAGCGACAGCAAAGAAAGCAACAGCAAAGAAAGCAACAGCAAAGAAAGCAACAGCAAAGCATGATGAGATGATCATCAAAGAGCAGGCGCAGCACCTTGCCTCGCTGCTTGTATCCAAAGATAAGATCGATCCAATGGTGGAGATTCGCCGACACCCACTCGCACTCCAGAGCCTGCACGTGCTTAACTATGAAATCCTCTGCATCCCTCGCCCTGGCAGAATAGAATGGGTGGAGGGAAGGAGTACAGTGGTGGAGAGAGGTGTAGAGAGGTGGTTTTAGGGTGCAGTTAATTTGGAGGGTGCAGTTAATTTGGAGGGTGCAGTTAATTAGGAGGGTGCAGTTAATTTGGAGGGTGCAGTTAATTTGGAGGGTGCAGTTAATTTGGAGGGTGCAGGTAATTTGGAGGGTGCAATTAATTTGGAGGGTGCAGTTAATTTGGAGGGTGCAGTTAATTTGGAGGGTGCAGTTAATTTGGAGGGTGCAGTTAATTTGGAGGGTGCAGTTAATTAGGAGAAAAAGGGCAGTTGTCAAGTGAAGGCGTGTGCAAGTATTACACGTTCGAAACAGAATTGCACCAAAAACAAGGACAAAAAGAGCGGTCACATAGCAGTTGGAAGCGCATTGGATACTGCAAGCAAGGCACACAAAGACCCAATGCAATGCCTTATATTCTACAACGAATGGCAAATTCTTAGTGTCACAAAATGAACTACCAAGGCCTCATTTGAGTTGATTTGTAAGGTGCTCAGAAATCAGAAGCACATACCAAGGAGGTAGCTCGACATCACCAATTGGGACCCCGTTCTGACGCGTGCCGAGATTGAGGTCTGGTCTGAAGGTGGTTGTGCGGGAAAGAGGGTGGGGGGTTGAAGGTGCAAATAGGACACTGAATCACGAAAAAGACACAGAGTGTAGCCATGCCCTGTGTGCGAGTGCAAAGGTTAATGTGCACAGCGGTGGTGGTGGAGGGGGGGAAAGGTGTGGATGAAATCAAGGAGTTGAAGGCTGAGGAAGGCTCAGGCACGCCCAAGCTCACTCACGGGAGGCGGAGGAAGTGCGCTGGGAGCGAGAAGAAGTGGGGGATGAGCTCCTTGACGTCGGTGGCGTTGGACAGCACACTCTCCCACGACTCCTGCAGCCCCGAGAACAGCCTGTCTGGCGAGTCAAAGCGACCGTTCTGATGGGGAGGGGGGGTGGTGCAGGGAACAAGGGGGTGCGGAGCGGAGATGGGGTTGAGAGAGGGAGGGAGTTAAAGCCTGCGACTCCTGCAGCCCCATGAAGATCCGGTTTGGCAAGTCAACGCGGCCGTGCTGATGTGGAGAGGGAGGGAGGGGCGGGAAGGAGGGTACGGGGCGGTGGAGAGCGAGGGAGTTCCTGAAAGCTTTCAATAACGCCCTGCAGCTCCTGGAGGTTGTTTTTGAGACGTCTCAAAAACAACCTCGCTACACGTGGCCCTGCAGCTCCTGGAGGCCCGTGAACAGCCGCCCCGCGAGTCAAAGCGACTGTTCACACGGAAAGGGAGGGAAAAGGGGGAGTGTGGGAAGGTGGGGGTGTTGCTGTGGTGGAAAGGGATGGAATTCTGAGATGGAGTGGAGAACAGAGAAACATGAGGTTTTAACCACCTGCAGCAAGTCCGGTGCGTGTTAAAGCTGTTGGCCAAGATTTTGCTAATGAGTGTGGAGTTCACTCACACTGTGTAAGAGTGAGGAAGCCAAAGTGAGGATTCCACAGAGTGTGTGAGTGTGGAAGCCACAGTGTGGTGTGGAGTGAGTGAAGTGCAGACTGGAGAGAGAGAGAGATGAGGGAGACTCACCTGTAGCCGCAGCATGTGTGCCGGTGCAGAGCGCACGAGCCAGTAGAGCACATAGCTGCATGCATGCATCGGGGGCACATGTGACACATGTGGGTTGGATTGGGGATACAAGGGTCGGGGGACATGCAATGCAGCAGTAGACATGGCATGGCTGGACGGTGGTTGCATGCAAAGGAAGGCGAAAGCAGAAAGGGTTCAGTTCACCCGGAGCAAAAGAGCAGGGAGCGAAAGAGCAGGGAGCGAAAGAGCAGGGAGCGGAAGAGCAGGTAGCGAAAGAGCAGGGAGCGAAATAGCAGGGAGCGAAAGAGCAGGGAGCGAAAGAGCGGTGAGCGAAAGAGCAGGGAGCGAAAGAGCAGTGAGCGAAAGAGCAGTGAGCGAAAGAGAAGTGAGCGAAAGAGTGGTGAGCAAAAGAGCAGTAAGCGAAAGAGCAGTGAGCGAAAGAGCAGGGAGTGAAAGAGCAGTGAGCAAAAGAGCGGTGAGCAAAAGAGCAGTGAGCGAAAGAGCAGTGAGCGAAAGAGAAGTGAGCGAAAGAGCAGTGAGCAAAAGAGAAGTGAGCGAAAGAGCAGGGAGCGAAAGAGCAGTGAGCGAAAGAGGAGTGAGCGAAAGAGCAGTGACGGTAAACCCGGCCCTTTCAGTGTACCATAGAGGAGGCTGTCATCATTACAAAGGAATGTGAAGCCGAAAAGCCCAGTGTATCCTGGACTGCAGTGGAGGGCGCCGGTGATTCATAAGCATATGCAACAGCAGCAGAAAGGGCCCAGCCCAGCATACCCAGGGGTGGAGTAGTGTGTGCCGTAGAGGAAAGGCTTGGTGCGCTCTGATCCACTCTTGTCCCGAGGCATCTGGTGTGTGTTCGTGCGGGAGGGGAAGAGGGGTAGTGGGTGTGAGTGGGTGTGAGTGCATGTGATCCCGGAAGAGCAGTGGACAGCCTATGAGACCCGGAACTCGGAAGAATGTAACGAGTGGTACAGACAGCAATGCTGTTCACAGTAGTCTGACCCACTCCCATCCCGAGGCCTGTGCCGTGTGTGGGGGGGGCGGGGAGGGTTGCGGGTTGGTACGGGGCGGAGATGAGATGAGTGGCAAACCAAGCATGGTAAAGAAAAACAGATGTGAGGTGACGGCACAAGTGGCAATGATGAGAAAGGGAATGATGAAGGGATATCCGATCCTTGCTTCACTGTGCTGCTCGTCCACTCACTGCACTGCCCGTTTACTCAATGGACCACGCGTTATCGCAATGTACCACTCCTTACCTCATCGTACCGCTCTCTGAACTCCGCAAGGCGTGCCGGGTTGAGTGCTCCCACTGGCTGCGGAGGTGGGGAGGGAGAGATAGAGGAGAAAGGGTAAATGGAGAGACAGGTGGGGACGGGATGAGGGAGAGAGGTAAGAATGGGTGAAGGAGAGAGATGAGAAGGGGAGAAGGAGAGAGATGAGAATGGGTGAAGGAGATAGGTGAGAATGGGTGGAGAGAGAGAGGTGAGAATGGGTAAACGAGATAGGTGAGAAGGGATGAAGGAGAGAGGTGGTGAGGGGACGAAGGAGAGAGGTGGTGAGGGGATGAAGGAGAGAGGTGGTGAGGGGATGAAGGAGAGAGGTGGTGAGTGGATGAAGGAGAGAGGTGGTGAGGGGATGAAGGAGAGAGGTGGTGTCGGGATGAAGGAGAGAGGTGGTGAGGGGATGAAGGAGAGAGGTGGTGAGGGGATGAAGGAGAGAGGTGGTGAGGGGATGAAGGAGAGAGGTGGTGAGGGGATGAAGGAGAGAGGTGGTGAGGGGATGAAGGAGAGAGGTGGGGAGGGGATGAAGGAGAGAGGTGGGGAGGGCAGGCAGGCAGGGCACTCACCTTGGAGAGGTCTCTGAAAGTGGCGGGATCGTACAGATTGAGGCAGCGGGTGGTACAGTCCATGGGCATTCAGGGCATGACGGGCCACTGCGCCCACTCACACACACACACACACACACACACACACACACACACACACCAAGGCAGGCTGGCAGGCGGGCGGGCAGGGCACTCACCTTGGAGAGGTCTCTGAAAGTGGCGGGGTCGTGGAAATCAAGGTAATGGGTGGTGTAATCCGCGCGCACCCAGGGCATGATGGGCCACTGCAACAAGTCACACGTGCTGTGGCAAGCAGGCACACACCTAGGCAGGCAGGCGGACAGGCATTCACCTTGGAGAGGTCTCTGAAGGTGGCTGGGTCATTCAAATCGAGGCAGTGGCTGGAGTAGTCCGCGAGCACCCAGGGCATGACAGGCCACTGCGCCAAGTCACACATGGTGCGCCCCGCTGCCAGGTTGAGGAAGAGCAGGTAGTCGCGGTTGGATACGCGGCCAGTCTGGGGGGTGGAGAAGGAGGTAGGGGACAGTGGGGTGGGGATAGTGCATGGAAGGTGAGGGGAGAGAGGTTAAGGAGGAGGAGATAGTTGGGGCTAGACTGGAGGGGCGGAGAGGGAGGGGGAAGGGAGGTGGTTCATGAAAAGTGAATGAGAAAATGAGGAGACAGGGATGGGAGGGAGGGAAGGGATATACAGGGAGAGGTGGGAGTTTTGAGACGTCTCAAAAGTGGATAACTGTCACGCGGAAGGAAGGTGTGGGAGGGAGGGGGGGAAGAGGGAGAGGGTGGGAAAACGATTGGGTGTGGGAAACAAGGCATGGGGGAGAGGAGAGGGAGCAAAGAATTCAGCAACGATGCTGAAATGCCATCCATACCTGCCCCACCTGCCCCAGCCGTGCCAGCCACTGGCCCACTGCCCCACCGCCGCACCTGCCCCAACCACCACACAATCACGTTGAAACTTCACTTCCCCACCTGGCCCATCCCCACCTGCCACAGCCCTGTGACGGCCTGCAGTGCATGCGAGTGAGCCTCTAGCAGCGATGCTGCTGCTGCTGCTGGGCTGGACACACCCTGACGCCCGTTGGGAGGTAGACACGGGGGAAGAGAGAAACGGGAGGTGAAGACATAGGATAGAAGGGAGGGAAGTGGGAGGAGGGGATATGACGAGTGAGAAACAGGAAAGCAAGAAAGAGAAGAGCGGGAGAAAGGAGAGTGAGAAAGAGAGGGTGAAAACCATGAGCGGTATGAAGCATTTGAAGACAGGGATTGGAGATAGGCTAAAAAACACTCTCTCACTCACCCCTAACAAGGCTAAAAAACACTCACTCTCTCACTCACCCCTAACAGCTTCTGCAGCAGCGCAGCGGCTCGGTCCCTCTCCCCCTGAGAGCTGAACACGAAGAACACACTGCTGCCATCCCCCAACGGTCCTCCGCCCCCACTCCCCCCGCCCCCCCCACTCCCCCCACTCACCCCCTCCTCTCCCACCAGTGCCGCCTCCCCCCTCCAGACCTCCTCCGCCTGCACCTCCTGAGCTGGCACTCTGCGATTGGTCCGGGCAGGAGAAGAAGATTTCGAGGCCGCGGGGGCGCAGGGAGTGGCGGCGGCGGGCAGCGGAGAGGAGCAGGGGCAGCGGGAAGATTCGGAGGGGACTCTCACTGCTAATTGCGTGTAATGGCTGTGAGAGTGGGGGGGTTGGGGGACAGAAATAGAGGATAAAGCGAGGTGAAAACTATGATGGTGAAAACTATGATGGTGAAAACTATGATGGATCCATCATAGGGTGAAAACACTGCTGCTGGTGTGCAATGGCTGTCAGAAGGGGGAGGGGGGAGGGGAGTGGGGAAAGGAAAAGAGGGGAGAGACGTGGGAGAGTAGGGGGGGACTGTCTTGAAAATGGCAAGTAACGGCTGTCGAGGGATGGAGGAGAGGAGACGGGAGAGGGGAGAGGGGAGAGAGGAGAGGGGAGAGGGGATGAATAGGGGAGAGGGGAGAGGGGATGAAGAGGGGAGAGGGGATGAAGAGCGGAGAGGGGAGAGGGGAGAGGGGAGAGGGGAGAGGGGAGAGGTAAGGGGAAGGTGACGAGTGGAGAGGGAGTTGAGACACAGTGAGGATATCACCTGCACCAGATGTCACCTCACCAGATGTCACCTACACCAGACATCACCTGCACCAGATGTCACCTGCACCAGATGTCACCTGCAATGGATATCACCTGCACCAGACGTCACCTGCACCAGTTGTCACCTGGAAGTAAAGCCGCTGCTGTGTGATCACAAGGCGGCCCGGCTCCCGAACCAGAGGCCGAACCTGGAGGTGAGGACCGGAACGGGCACAAAAAGTGCAATGGATGGGTTGAAAGAGAGCCTTCACGGCCATTAGATTCACGGAAAGGCAGCCAAGACAACCAGCACCCTGAGCTCTCCTCTCCCTAATTTCCACTAGTCAGCCAGCAAAGACAACAGGCAGGCAGCAGAGACAAAGCTGTAGATGCACTATAGATGATGGCAGGCTCTAGCCATTAGTCATGGGGGCTCGCACATAGGGCGCTTCACATGTATCTTGCTGACCGGGCAGTCCAGGAGGGAGTAGCAACAGCCAACTTGACTTGAGTTGACTCCCGTTGACCCGCGTTGACTCACACTGACCCACCAGGCACGCCACACGCACCTCGGAGGCGAGGCAATCAAGCAGGATCTGTTCGGAGAGGTCCACGAGGCGGCTCACGTCAAAGGGCGCCGAGGTGAGTTGACTCACGTTGACCCGCGTTGACCCCCGTTGACCTGCGTTGACCCGCGTTGACCCACCTGGGAGGCGAGGCAGTCGAGGAGGATGTGTTCGGAGAGGTCCACAAGGCGGCTGACATCAAAGGGCGCCGACGCCTCCATGAGGGACAGGCGGCGTGCCACCTCCATGTCCCTCTGCTCGTATGGCAGCAGCTGCACTCCCAGCACAGGTAGGGCTTCGTCTAAGAGCTGGTGATGCAATGCAGAGATGGGGGAAAGGAGTGTGTGTGGGGTGGGGGAATGTGGGAACGAGGGGAAATGAGGGACAGGCGCCGCACCGCCTCCATGTCTCGCTGCTCGTACGGCAGCAGCTGCGCACTGGCAGCGCCTCGTCTAGGAGGTGGTGAGGAGGGATGCATGCACGGGGAGTGAGGGATGTGGGAGGCAAGTGACAGGAGGGGTCAGAAGGCACCTCCATGTCCCGCTGCTCGTATGGCAGCAGCTGCACCACCCCCAGCACTGGCAGCGCCTCGTCTAGGAGCTGATGAAGGGGAAGGGATTGGGGACGGTAGGGGGGAGAGGGGGGGGGGGGGGGAACGGAGCGCAGAAGCTACAGAGAAGGTTCGGAATGAAAACGGGCAGAGAGGAGGAAGGGAAGGGTGGCCTAGACGAGTGTTGGTATAGTATAGAGTGACAAACAAGGGATGGACGGGGGTTCAGGTTGGTAAGGTACAGCATCAAATGCACTGGGCGTACCCGGGAGGTGAGAAGCTACAGCGGTTATATACCTGCAAGATAGGGGGCTACAGTGGTTATCCACCCGCAAGATGGGGGGCTATAGTGGTTATATACCCTTGAGGTGGGCGAGTAGTCAAGGGAGAAGGCCCACGTGGACGGCAGGTGGCCCTCATCGATCTCTTTCTTCTCAAACTCGTACGGCACGTCCTGCCCACACGCCTTCATTGCCACGTACATGCCTGTTGTCACATACACCACATCCCCATAACCCTTATCTCCCCCATACCCCCCATCCCCATACGCATTCCCCAGCCTTCCCCCATCGCTCCTCCGTCCTCCGCCCCGACCTCCGCCAAACCCGCCGTTTTCGCCGCTTTCCCCGTCCCCCCCGCCCGCCCCCGCGCCTTCCCCCGCCCACTCCGCGCGGATGCGCCCCTCCGCGGCGAGTTTCGCGCCCAGCTGCGAGCGGTACCGGCGGCGCGACGCGGGGTGGAAAACGACTAGTATGTGCGGCATGGGGAACATTATAATGGGGATGGCGGGGTCCTGCGGCTCGAAGAAAAGCGACTTCATGCACAGCCGCAGCCGCCCGCCGGCGAGCGCGCGCGGCTGGCCATCCACGAGGTGACACGTGGCGACCCAGTCGGTTATGTAGTGGTCCCCGTCGTCGAGCAGGAGGAGCGAGAAGCGCTGATGGCCCTTGCGACGCGCTGCGCCGCTCAGCATGATGGTTGAGGAGAGGGAGAGGTGGGGAGGGGTTGGGAGAGGTGGGGAGAGGCGGGGAGAGGCGAGGAGGGTGTTGCGATGTGGCTATGCGGCGATACTATCAAGACGATTCAGGAGTCGTCGAGCATGAGCGAGAATCGCTGAAGGCCTTTGCGGCCCGCTGCCCCACTCAGCATGATCGCTGTGGAGAGACAGAGGCGAGCAGAGGTGGGGAGCGGCGGGGAGCGGCGGGGAGGGGCGAGGAGGGCCTAGGAGAGGCGAAAAGACTCAGAAGTCGTCGAGCAGGAGGTGCGAGAAGCGCTGATGGCTCTAGCGACGCGCAGGAGACGACACAGGGGTCGGACTGGGAGCGCTACCACTGTGAACTTAGAGAGCTTACGAGTGCCGCGCACTTCGTCGCAAGCCTCGAGGCTTGGATAAGGAGGGAGGCCGGGCCACTGAACTCATCTCGCCTCGATAACTCCTCGCTCATCAATTTGGGCAAACATGCCATCTTCAATGGAAACAAATCGAGAAGTAGAACGTATTTTTCATAAGCTGAAATCTGGGTGTCGAAATTGGCTCGAGCGTGTGCAGCATTTTGGCGTAAGAGGTGTGGCTAGAAGAAATGTTGGCTACACTCTCGGCGAACCAAACAATAAAAACGAGATTCGATCGTCCATAGTACGATTTTCAAACGCGCTGCTGGTGATATGCGTAATCCAAATGGAGCCTTCTCTCCGGTCTAGGTCCGCGGGGTCAGTCAGAGCACCTTTGTAGGATCATTCGGTAAGAGCCACGTTATTAGTTATTTCAGCGCACCCTCTTTTATAGCCGATAACCGGTTGACACACTTACCTGGAAGAACTCTTTACATTCTGAAAACCAGCCTGATTGGCCAGGCCTCAAGCTACATGCTTTGACCTTTTGACACTCACTAAGCGGAAGCCGCAAACATGAATGCTAGAGAAAACTCCTAGTCAGCAGCCTTTATTGAATTCGCAGCATCCCCTTGCAACAACATATCACATTAGCAACTACAGCACCATCTACACTACAGCCTCTACCTCTGTGCCCGCCTCAACAGCCCCTGCTGCATCCACCACAAGCTGCCCTCCACCAATCATCTCCATGCTCTCCTGCTCTGTTTCTACACCCTCCCCATCAGCACTCACCACCCCAGACCCTTCCTCCTCTCCCTGTTCTTCTCCACATTTTGCCATTCCCTCCACTTCAATCCCTCCCTGCTCCTCCCAAACAGCCTGCTCCATCTCCTCCTTTGATCCCTGTTTGAAATACCCCCCCGCAATCTCTATAAGAATATTCAGCATTTCCAACCCTTGGTCCTCACGTGACTGTATCGAAGCCCTCAGCCCAGCACACTTCCTCAGCAGCTCTCGCAGCGCTGCTGCCGTCTCTGCTTCTATTGGCTCGTCCACCCCTGCCGCCCATGCCACCAGCCACATTCCCCGCCACGTGTCAACTGCTGATTGGCCGATGGCCCAGTCCACATGGGCGCGGAGGAGGGCGGCTCGGCCAACAGCATCGCAGTGTAGCACCGTGCCGAGCAACGGAGCGAGCTGATTGGCCCGGCCCGGGAGCACGCACTCCATGGCTGCCACGTCAGCATCTGACGGCCATGGCACTGGCATGGATGGTTGCTCAGTATAGTCTTCAGATGGATCAAGACCAGGGTTGCTGCTTTCGTCATTATCTGGCACCCAAAGAGGCAGGGGTCCCGAGTAGTTGATCATCTCGTCCAGTGCTGCTTCCACGTCAGCGTCCACCTCAGCATCATCTTCCGTGTACGTGTCAGCATCGGCATCCAGATCAGCATCTACATCAGAACCGCCGTCAACCACACTAGTAACCTCAGCAGCTGTTGAATCGGCAGGTGTAGCATCAGCATCTGTAGCACCAGCATCTGTAGCAGCAGCAGCCATAGCAGCATCAGCAGCAGTATCACCAGGCTCCGTACTTTCCCTCAATCCACCACACCCCATGCCTGCATCACCCCTTCCCAACACATCTCCTCCCACATCACCCCCTGCCACATCATCCCCTGCCACGTCATCCCCTGCCACATCATCCCCTGCCACATCATCCCCTGCCACATCACCCCCTGCCACATCATCCCCTGCCACATCATCCCCTGCCACATCACCCCCTGCCACATCATCCCCTGCCACATCATCCCCTGCCATAACCCCTTGTGCAACCACCCTCTCCTCCTCCATTCCCCCTGCAACTCCTTCAGGGTCCTTCACAGAAAGCCCCTTTACCGAAAGTCCCTCCGGCAGTTGCTCTGACAGCTTTTCAAGCAGCCCTTCTGTGAGTCCTCTTGAGATTCTGTCAGTGGGTGCCTTGCTCTGCGCTGTCGTGTACGGCAGCAGCAGCGCCAGGCCTCTGGGTGCCTCTCCTTCCCCTCGTCCCTCTTCTTGCTGCTGCTTTCCCTGTTCGCTCTCACTTGCACCCAATGCAATATCATGTGCAGTGTCATCTGCAGTGTCATGTAAAGTTTCATGTGCAGTGTCATGTGCAGTGTCACATGCCGTGTCACGCACGCTGGCACTGGCATCCCCTTCCGCCTCCCCTCTCAAACTCCCGTCTTCGATCTTCCCATCACCTCCTGATTCACACGCCTCCCCTCCCTCACCTCTCTCCTCTCCTCCATCTTTCTCCACACACTCGCTCCCCCTTTTCCCCCCATCCTCCATCCCTTCACACTCTGCTTCCGAACCACAACAAACCTCACCCCCCTCCTTCGTCTTCCCCTCCCCACCATCCTCCACTTCTTCCTCTCCCTTTTCACCCTTTGCCTCCTTCTCTCCTCTTTCACCACCCACCTCCTCCTCCCTTGCTCCACCCCCAACCTCCTCCACTCCCTCATCCTTCTCTCGCTCCCCATCCACGTCCTCCTCCCACGCGCCCCCCTCCTCCTCGCCAATCAAATCCTTCTCCTCATCATCCCCATCCACTTCCCCTTCCCCCTCTCTGCTGCCCTCCTCCTCACTCCCTCCCCCCTCACTCTCTCCTCTCTCGCTTCCCTCCCCCAGGTCTACCTCACTGCAATCCTCTCCTTCTCCCATGCCACCCACCTTCTTCCCTACTCTCCTCTTCGCCTTCCGTCTCGCCGCCACTTTTCCCCCTCCCCCGGTTCCCCCCTCTCCCGCCTCCCCCGTGTCACAAGGCAGAGAGCGGCCAAAGCAGTAGGAGTGCCACGCGTGCAGGTCGCGGTGCGATGGGATTGGCATGCCATGACACGTGGGGACTCGTGATTCGTCGACGCCTTCAAGGCTCTGCAGGTGATGAGAAGACGTGACGGGGAAGGGGTGGAGTGGGGTAACAGAGAGTGTCGTGTGGGGGTAGAGCGGGGTAGAGCGGGGTGAAGTGGGGTGGAGTGGGGCCACAGAGAATGTAGCTGATGAAAACCATTGAACTCTCACTGCTCGCTCCTCTCACCTCTCTTGCAGGACACACTTGCCAGACTCTCTCACTGCAAACAAGTGCCGTCGCCTCGTCACCTCCTCACGAAGTGACTTTTGAGTCGACTCAAAAGAGGTGACTTTTGCGTCGACTCAAAAGTCACCTCTTGCGGGACACACTTGCCAGACTCTCTCACTGCAGGTGCCGTCGCCTCATCACCTCCTCACAAAGCAGCTGTTTTTACTACCAAAGAAAGCAAACACAGCACTGCACCTCCACCTGGCACAGGTAACTGCACCAGTGACTTTGATACCTGCCAGGCACCCATTGCTAAAAAAGGCCCTTCTGGTGCAAGCAAGCAGCTTACGGCAATGACATGAAATGGAATCTTGTGCTTCACAGCACAGCAGCACCCACCTGGCGCGGCCACTTGTGGGAAGGCAGCAGCAGGGCGGGGCAGGAGGCACATGCAGCACGGGGCACGGCGCCGCGCAGCACGGCACGGCACGGCACGGCACGGCACGGCACGGCACAGCACGGCAGCACCCACCTGGCGCAGGCACCCGAACGCAGCCTGGAGGTACTGCCGCCACTCGTGGGAGGGCAGCAGCAGGGCGGGGCAGGCCGGCACAGCAGCCACTCGCGGCAGGTAGTGCGGGGAAAACACCTACCCAGCACAGCACAGCAAGACCCACCTGGCGCAGGTAACCAAAGGCGGCTTGCACGTACTGCCGCCACTCGTGGGAGGGCAGCAGCAGGGCGGGGCAGGCCGGCACAGCAGCCACTCGCGGCAGGTGACGCGGACCCAGGGCCACAGGGGCACCGCCGCTGGTAGGATTGCCGCCAGGTGGCGGCTTCTCATTGGGTGCTGCAACAACCACCTTGGGCACGCGCTCCCTCTCCCACCTGCTCAGGGCGGAGGCGAGAGGAGGGGAGGAGGCGGTAGGAGGGGAGGGGGCGGGAGGGGAGGCGAGGAACGTACAGGGAGGAAACGAGTGAAGCTTGTCAGTGGGTGCTGCAACAACCACCTTGGGCACACCTCTCAGGGCGGACCAGAGAGGAGATGAGGCGAGACGAAAGGAAACACGTGAAGTTACCGGAGCTGAGGGGAGCTGGTGTGCAGAAACATATGGGGGAAAGAGGGAAATTGAGAAGAATTGCCTGTTCTGAGTGATGGCACAAGTTGACTCATCATACCCTAGACTTGGAAGCAGGGAAGGTTGAAAACACCCACCTTTGACGGGCCCCTCACCACCCCATCTTCTAGTGAAAATGCATCCCCCATTTCCATATTACCAACCACATTCCCATTTCCCCTCCTCCCCCAACCACATCCCACCTCCCACAACCTCTTACCCTCATCTCCTCTCCCTTCCCCTACCCCCTGCCCTGCCCATCATCTCAAGCAAGCGACCACGTCAACGAGCCGTGCCTGAGAGAAGCCCAACGCATACCCCACCAACCCCACGTGAGAAACCCTGAACCCTGGCAGCACCTAATTTTTTACCCTGAACCTTGGCAGCGGGTGAGGAAGGGAGAAGTCCGGCTCGCCATACACCGGCAGAGCCTTCAGCCTGCACCTCCTCTGTCCACTCTCCCCACTCTCCCTCAGTCAATCCCCACTCACCTGACTCGTCGCAGGTACTCGAGGCCATCCAGCGGGTGAGGAATGGAGAAGTCCGGCTCGCCATACACTGGGAGAGCCCTCGCCTGCAGCACCTCCTCTTCCTCTTCCTCCTCCTCCCACTCCTCCTCCTGCTGCCCCGCTTCCTGCTTTCCCCCGTCCTGCTTGCCCCACTGCCCCCCCCACCGCTCCTCCTCTTGGAGTGGTCTGCGTTGAGACTCAGTAGTTCCACACTCCTTCAGACCGTCCCACCTGCCACCAGCGGCAACAGAAGCAGAAACAGAAGCAGCAGCAGCAGCAGCAGCAGCAGCAGCAGCAGCACCACCACCACCAGTAGCAGCAGAAAGAGCAGAAGAAGCAGTGGCAGCGGCGCCAGCATTAACCGCAGCAGCACTGGCATCGGCCAAGCTCCTCCCAGCGTTTTCACCCATCTCACCATCAGCAGAGCTCCCACCACTTGCTTGTGCGGCAGCAGCAGCTGCTGCGGAGGTAGAGGCGGCAGTAGTGGCCGCAGAATCATCGATGGTCCTGACAAGACATGCATCGCCAGTGCTTCCAATATTAGAAGCTTCTTCTGTTGCACCAGTGACCATCGTGGCACCACCACCATCACCTCCCTCCCCACTGCTGGTAGCAGCAGTGGCAGCAGTGTATGCATTTGCAACAGCAGCAGCAGCAGTACCAGTGGCAGCAGCGCCAGCAGCAGCAGCAGCAGCGGGAGCAGCGGCGGCAGCAGCGTCAGAAGCAGGAGCAGCAGCAGCTGCATAACCTCTGGCCTCAGCTGCCCATCCTGCCATGTGCGTCTCAGTCCCGACTATCCCCTCACTTTCCCCACGCCCACTTGGACTGCCCCAGATACCGCTGCCGCTGCCACTGTTGCTGTTGCCGTTGTTGCTGCTGCTGCTGCCCTCCCCATGCACATTCCCCCACCCCCTTCCTCCCCGCCCACTCTGCTCCTGCCCCCCTGCATTCTTCCGCCCCTTACGCCTTGACCCCTTCTCCCCCGCCCCTCCCCCTCCCCCACCTCCGCCTCCCCATGTGCCTCCCCCGCCCCCTCCCCCTCCCCCCCCTCTTGCCACGTCCCTCATGAGCTCTTCCACAGCCAGCTGCGTGCTGCCATTCATGGTGCGCCACGTGTCACACTGGTACTGGACGGACTGCAGCCCGATCTGTTTGAGCTGCTCAAAGGAGTACACGTGGACAGGTGCTGCACACGTGGCTGACCCTGCTCCTCCTGATCCCCTCCCTCCTCTCTTACCACTGTTGTCTCCTATTCTTCCTCCTCCTCCTCCTCCTCCTCCTCCTCTGCCTCCTCTCCCCCCCGCACCACACTCCTTCCCAACCCCAGCACCCAACGCTGTCGCTCCCACCCATTCTTCTCCTTCCTCCTCCCCTCCCTTCCCCACACCCACACTCTCCGCTCTCCCTACCCCTCCACTTACCCCCCACCCCTCGTCACCCACACAACCAGCGCCCTCCATCCCCCCCTGCCATGCCCTCCCATCCCTGCCCCAACCAGACGACCCTGTTCCCATGCCCATACCCATGCCTGTACCCATGACCATGTCAGTGGCCATGCCCGTACCAATGCCCACACCCATGCACGGATCCCTACCCATCCCAATACCCATCTCCATGTCTGTTCCCATACCTGCTCCCATGCCTGTTCCCATGCCTGCTCCCATGCCTGCTCCCATGCCTGCTCCCATGCCTGCTCCCATGCCTGCTCCCATGCCTGTTCCCATGCCTGCTCCCATGCCTGCTCCCATGTCTGCTCCCATGTCTGCTCCCATGCCTGCTCCAATGCCTGTTCCCATGCCTACAGCACCAGCCACATGCATGGGCATGTACATTCCCCCCTGCACAGGAGGCATGGGCATGGGTACCCCTCCCGGCACGGCCATTGGACCCCCTCCCTGCATGGGCATGCCAGCAGACATGGCATGCCATGCCGCATCAGCAGCAACCCCAGCCCAGCCCCCAGGCGCGCACTGCATGGCGCTCACACCAGGCGGAACGGGCAGAGGCACAGGCAGAGGCATGGGCATGGGCATGGGCACGGGCATGGGCAGGGTCAGAGGGGGTCCGTAGCCTTTGCCGAGAATGCCTTTCTCTGCGTCTGGAACCCCGTGGGGGAGAGCACCAGCACCAGCTGCTGCAGCTCCTGCTGCTTCTGCTTCAGCTGCTGCTTCTGGCAGTGCAGCGGCGGGAGGGGTACCGGTCGCTGTGCCTGCAGCGGGGGAAGGGTTAGGCTGAGAGGACGCCTCTGGAGGAGAGGGAGTTGGGTGGGAGGAGGGATCGCCAGAGGGGAGGGTTGCAGGAGCAAGGGAGCATGGAGATGCAGCGAGAGGAGAAGAAGAGGGGTGAGGAGACGACGAGGGAGGAGTGGCGGAGGGAGGGGTGGCTGAGGGAGGGGTGGCAGCAGAGGGGAGAGAGGCCGTGGTAGGGAAAGGAGAAGCGGCAGCAGCTGCTGGTGAGGCTGGGAGGAGGGAAGGTGACTCTCGGGCAGTGGGGACACAGCAATCTGCTGCTTGCTCGCATGTCTCTGTCTGTGACTGAGTGTGTGGCGTGTTTCCTGGCAGTGTGTGGCAGTCTGCTGCTTGCTGCTCCTCACCCGCCTCTGCCACCACACGGGTGCACTCTCTACTGCTGCTCACCGCACCGTACCCATCCGCAACGCCAGGAATCCCCTCTTTAGCCGCAATTGCGACGGGAATTGCTGCAGCATTACCAGCAGGGATTGCCACAGGAGCGGAGGCAGCAGCAGGAAGCGGAGAGGCATGCGCCGCGTTCTCTGGGAGAGAAGGAGCGGAGGGAGAGCAAGATGCAGCATCTGCACCTCGACTCGTTTCAATTGGTGCCTTTCCTTTCCCACTCGCCTCCTCCCTATCATCCCGCGTCCCCTCCTGCTCCTTTCCCTGCCCCCCTTCCTGCCCCCCTTCCTGCCCCCCTTCCTGCTCCTCTTGCTGCTCCTTTTCCGGCACTCCTTCCTGCTGTCTTTCCCCTCGCTCCTCTCTCTCCCTTTCAACACTCCTCTCCGATTCTTCACTCACTTCTCTTCCCCGCTCCTCTCCTCCTCCGTCCTCCACGCCTTCCCTCTCCTTCTCCCCACTCCCCGCCTCGCCTGCCATATCCTCCCCATCGCCTCCTTCCTTCCCCACCTCACGCTCCTCCCCCTCTTCCCTCTCCTCCGTCTCCCCACACCCTCCATCCATACACGCAACACCACCAGGTGACTCGTGAGTCGGCCCAGAAGCATCCTTCGCCCCACACGCTTCACCTTCCTCACACTCTCTTGCTTCACCGCTGCCTGAACCTCCTCCTCCCGCAATCTCCGTCCCTTCCAATGCTCCGTCTGCCACCCTCTCATCTCCTCGCCTCTTCCTCTCCTCTTCCACGTCTCCCTCTCCCCTCCCCTCCTCCATCACCTGCCCTTGCTCCGCCGCTTCCTCCCTCTTTACCACCCCCTCTCGCAACTCTTGCCCCTCTCCCCGCTCTCCCCCTTCTCCCCTCTCTCCCCCTTCTCCCCCCTCTCCCCCTTCTCCCCCCTCTCCCCCTTCTCCCCCCTCTCCCCCTTCTCCCCCCTCTCCCCCTTCTCCCCCCTCTCCCCCTTCTCCCCCCTCTCCCCCTTCTAAACCCCCTCTCCCGTCCCCTACCCCGGTGCCCAAAGGGATTCTCTCGGTATTCGCCTGCTCAGCCCCCCTCTCCTCTCTCCCTCGCTCCTCTTCCTCCCTCCCCTCCTCCTCCCGCTCATCAACGCCCCCATCCCCCTGCTCCTCCTCCCCTTCCCCCTCCCCCTCCCCTTCTCCCTCCCCCACAACCTCCTCCCCAGCCATCCACTCCCCCCCATCCTCCTCCCCGTCCCCCCCATACTCTTCCCACCCCTCCGCCTCTTCCCCGGAAGCCCCAGGGGCCGTTCCCCCATCCGCCGACCTGCTCCCTCCCCCCCTTCTCCCCCCTCCCCCCCTCCACCCGCCTCCCCTTCCGCCTCCCCCACCCCCTCCTCCCCTTCCCCCGTACCCCCTGCTTCCCCCTCCCCGCCCTCCCCCAGACGAAGAACCCCCCGCCCCTCCCCCTCCCCCTCCCCCTCCCCTCCTATTACCTCCGCCCCCTCTTCCACCCCCGCTCCCTCCCCCGCCCCTCCGCCCGCCTCCCCGCCTTCCCCCGCCATCTCCATCACCACTCCCCTCATCCTCCTCCCCCTCTCCCCCCTCACCTCCCCCTTTAGAAACACTCCCGTTAGAAGCATCCGCCTTTCTATCGCCTTGCGCGCTCCCCTGCCTGCGCGCGCCAGCGTCCCCCTCCGCCTGTCGCCCCTGCGGCTGCTGCAGGAGCGCGCCAGCCATCGCTGCGCCAGCAGGAGCGGGTTGCCCCGCCTCAGCGCGCGCAGCAGCACCGCCAGCGGTAGCAAGCAGGGAAGGCGCAGGGAGACGGAGGGTGGTAGCAGCAGCAGTGAGCGGGGGAGCAGAAGAGGGTTCCGTGGCAACAGATGATGCCGCAGCTGCGTCCGCGCTAGCAGTAGGGACAGTCACGACGGGAGCAGCAGTCGTTGCTGACGTGGCAGCGGAGTCAGCACTAGCGGCGGGATGGATCGGAGGCGGTGCAATGGGAACCGGAGGAGTGGCAGCAGCAGCGATGACGGGGTGAGACGCAACGCTCGATGTAACACCAGCTGCACCAGCTGCACCAGCTGCACCAGCTGCACCAGCTGCACCAGCTGCACCAGCTGCAGCCGCAACCGCTGCAGCAGCAGGAGCAATAGCAGCAGGAGCCACAGCTGAAGGGGCTGTATGTGTGGTCATTGCAGCAGTCATCAGTGAAAGGGCTGTAGCTGTGGGCACTGCAGCAGCAGCGAGGCTCGTCCCGCCGTTGGCCCTCAGATCGCCATCTTCTCGCCCATCCGCCGGCGCACCGTTGATCGCCTGCCTCGTTGACGATCCAACGGCGGACGAGGCGCCTTCAGCCGAAGCGGCAATCCCGAAGCCGTCTGCGCGAGGAGCGGGCTGAGCGATTCGCGCAGCAGATGGATCGCTGGCGGCTAAAACGGCAGGGGATGGATGGCGCGGCAGAGCTACCTGCGCGGCGGAGACGGGCGCGATGCTGGCAGGGCCAACCAGCGCAGTGTGGGGGGGATCAATCCGCGGTTGGATCGCAGGGTGGTGCGGTTGAATGGGGGTTTGGTGCGGTTCGATAGGGGGATGGCGCGGCGGAGCGACCTGCACGGCGGAGACGGGCGCGATGTTTTCGGGGCCGAGCAGCTCGAGGCGGCGCTGGCGGATAAACGAGTTCACCTTAACGAGGTATTCGGGGTCCACCGCGAGCTCCGCTGGCCCCGAGGGGGGAATCTGATGGTTCATGGCGTCGCGGAAGGTTCTCGACGGGATTCTAAGAACCTACCTGCTACAGAACGGCGTTCAACTCAATAGTTCGTTTCCACCGCGAGCTCCGCGAGTCCTGAAATGGGGTTCTGACGGTTCACGGCGTCGCGAAAGGTTCTTGCAATTTCTCAAACACCACCTGCTACAAAACCCCCTTTACTTCAACTAGGCAATCAGGGTCCACCGCGAACTTTGCTCGGACCGATGGCATGATCAGTCATAGCGGCGCGTGATAATGCCAAATATCTTGGCTGGAGATAGTGGGAATTCACAAGGATTCAGGGGTATTTTGAGGATGCGAGAATGTTGGGGGATGGGTTGATTTTTGAGCGAGGCAGATCAACAGTCCGTTTGCCAAAATGGGCCATTTTCAGGTGCAATCTACTCTTGCTAGGAAATCTACTCATGTGCGATCCATGTTACTGTGCAGATACGAACACCATATTTATTGTGAGGAGTTTCTGTCGATAATCCCTTTTCATCCGAGATCCGATTTGAAATAACACAAACAGTCTGAATCAAAAGCAATTTCGGATCATGCCAAGCAAAATTAGAATGGTCACGTCATATTTGCCCAATTTCGACGATAACTTCTGCTTCGCACCAGGAGTTGTTGTTGGCGAATGGTCAAGGCGTCGGCTATGTTGTTGGCGCCTTTCTTGTACGTGATGGTGTACCGAAAATTGGACTCGATGTAGTCCAACCACCGGGTTTGTCGCGGGTTGAGAATCGGTTGCGTGCGCATGTACTGTAGCGATTTGTGGTCAATTTGGATCGTCGCGAATGACTTCGAACGGTCGAGATGGGTTGGCGAGGCGGAGGTCTAGGGTGAACTCAAAATATTTTTTAGTGTGTCGAAGGCGGACTGCTCTCTCTCCCCCCACTGAAAAGGGTATCCTTGTGCAGCAAATCGGTTTGTGGCTTGGTTACCCCTACCGTGTTAGGTACAAAACGGCGAACGTAGTTAACAAAACCCAAAAAACTTTGCAACTCGGTAATGTTAGTCGGCGGCTTCCACTTAACGATGGCGTCGATTTTGCAAGGGTCAATTTTAATCCCATCGCCCGAAACCACGTGCCCCAGGAACTCCAGTTCCGGCGTTGGCCCACTCCCCCAAGTGTGGCCAACCCAACCCAATGGGCCATAGGTTGGCCCACTCCCCCAATCCCACCTCCCTCCTTTCCCTTCCAACCCTCTCTTCCCAAAAGCTATGTATGTTTTCTAATGATCGACTCAAGATAATGCTTCAATTTCCTTTCTTCACATGGTATAGAGCATAATTCTCCTACGGCCTTCCCTTCCCCCTCCAGTTTTGCTTTCCCAAGGGCCCACCACACACTTCCCTCACGCCGCAACCTTTCCGTCGCCGTCGTCCCCTCCCCCTCTCCCCCTCCTCATCTCGGCACTTTCTCGCCGCGATCTCCCCGCCGCCGCGTCCCGCGGATTTCGCCGCCGCGTCCCGCTGATTTCGCCGCCGCGTCCTCTTCGCCCGCGGGTTTCCTGCGGATTTCCCCGCCTTCGCGGATTTCCCGCGGATTCCCCGCGGATTCCCCCGCCGCCGCGGATTTCCCGCGGATTCCCCGCGGATTCCCGTCGTCGCCTGCCCTCCCAGCCGCCGCGGCCTTTTTCGTCACGGATTACTCGCGGATTCCCCCGCCGCCGCGGATTCCCCCGCCGCCGCGGATTTCCCGCGGATTCCCCACGGATTCCCGTCGCCGCCTGCCCTCCCAGCCCCCGCGACCTTTTTGTCGCGGATTTCCCGCGGCATTCCCCGTCGCCATGCATTCCCCGCGGATTTCCCGCGGAGTTCCGTCGCCGCCTGCCCTTCCAGCCACCGCGACCCTCTCGTCGCCACCTGCCCGTCCCACCGCCGCGACCACGTCGTCGCCGCCTGCCGTATCAGCCGTCACGGCTTCGCGTGGTCGCCTTCCCCGCCGCCGCGACCCTTCTTTTTCTTCGTCACCGCTTGCACATCCCCCCCGCCGCGACTCCGTCGCCGCCTGCGCACTCCAACCGCCGCGACTACACCGCCGTCGCTCGACATTTCGATCGCTGTGACCGCGCTGTCATCGCCCGCGGTTTCCGCCGCCACGACCACATCGTCGCCGCCTGCCCATCCCGCCTCCGCTACCCCTTCGCCCCCCCCCCCCCCTTGCACATTTCGCCGCCACTACTCCTTCCCCTCTCCGCCTCCCCCCCTCTCCCTCCGCCTCTCCCTCTCCCCTCTCCTTGCAGCTACAGTCGCGGCAGCAGCAGCAGCAGCGGCAGCAGCAGCAGCGGCTTCCCCCGCAGCGGCGACAGCAACGGCAGTAGCGACATAAGCAGGAGCCGTGCCAGCCGCGCCCGTGACTGCACCCTCCTTCCCCTCCCCCTCTCACCCTCTCCCTCCGCCACTCCCTCTCCCCTCTCCTCGAAGCAGTGGCCGCGGCAGCGGCGGCAGCTACAGCCGCGGCAGCAGCGGCAGCAGCAGCAACAGCAGCAGCAGCAGCGGTAGCCGTGCCAGCCGCGCCCGTGACTGCACCCTCCTTCCCCTCCCCCTCTCCCCCTCTCCCTCCGCCACTCCCTCTCCCCTCTCCTCAAAGTAGCGGCAACAGCTACAGCCGCGGCAGCAGCGGCAGCAGCAGCAGCAACAGCGGCAGCAGCAGCAGCAGCAGCAGCGGCATCCCTGTCAGAACATTATAGCTTATACATTTGTGTTGGCCCATAAGGGGTACAACCCAATTAGGGTTAGTACTTGTACCCAACTGTTTGCTAGTTCATTCATTCTCGTTCGTTACTTTGACATGGAATCAGAGCAGGTTCCTTGGGCCCACCACCTGCTACGTTGCTAGTACCCCCCTAGGCCCGTCGCGCCCCTTAGGCCCGTCGCGCCACCTCACTGCCCCTAGCTCGGCCCCTCGGCCCCGTTGGCCCCGTCGCCCCTAGCCGCGCCACTCGGCCCCGTTGGCCCCGTCGCCCCTAGCCGCGCCCCTCGGCCCCGTTGGCCCCATCGCCCCTAGTTGCGCCCCTCGGCCCTGCTGGCCCCGTCGCCCCTAGCCGCGCCTCGCGGCCCCGTTGGCCCCGTCGCCCCTAGCCGCGCCCCACGGCCCCGTTGGCCCCATCGCCCCTAGCCACGCCACTCGGCCCCGTTGGCCCCGTCGCCCCTAGCCGCGCCCCTCGGCCCCGTTGGCCCCGTCGCCCCTAGCCGCGCCCCACGGCCCCGCTGGCCACGTCGCCCCTAGCCGCGCCTCGCGGCCCCGTTGGCCCCATCGACCCTAGCCGCGCCCCTCGGCCCCGTCGACCCCGTCGCCCCTAGCCGCGCCCCTCGGCCCCGTTGGCCCCATTCCCCCTAGCCGCGCCCCTCGGCCCCGTTGGCCCCGTCGCCCCTAGCCGCGCCCCTCGGCCAAGTTGGCCCCGTCGACCCCGTCGCCCCTAGCTGCGCCCCTCGGCCCCGTTGGCCCCGTCGCCCCTAGCCGCGCCCCACGGCCCCGCTGGCCCCGTCGTCCCTAGCCGCGCCTCGCGGCCCCGTTGGCCCCGTCGACCCTAGCCGCGCCCCTCGGCCCCGTCGACCCCGTCGCCCCTAGCCGCGCCCCTCGGCCCCGTTGGCCCCGACGCCCCTAGCCGCACCCCTCGGCCTTGTTGGCCTCGTCGCCCCTAGCCGCGCCCGTTGGCCCCATTGGCCCCGTCGACCCCGTCGCCCCTAGCCGCGCCCCTTGGCCCCTCGGCCCCGCCCTTCGGCCCCTCGGCCCCTCGGCCCCGCCCCTCGGCCCCTAGGCTCGGCCCCTTGGCCCCCAGGCACCTCGGCCCCTCAGCCCCTAGCCTCGGCCCTTCGGCCTCGTGTTTGGCCCCTCGGCCCCGCCCCTAGGACCCTCGGCCCCTCGGCCCCTAGGCCCCTTGGCCCCTCGGCCCCTCGGCCCCGACACCCTCGTGTTTGGCCCCTCGGCCCCGCCCCTTGGCCCCTTGGCCACTGCTCCTGCTACTGCTACTACTGCTAATGCTACTACTGCTACTGCTACTCCTGAGTACTGCGCCACTATGGCTTCGCTTCGAGTCCAAGCATTCGATCACGAGGGCAGACCAGTTGCATTTGACACGTGGCACGACGATCTGCAACTGTACCTACTGAGCGATATTAAGGACAGTGTCTCGCTGTTTGACCACGTGTCAGGTGTCGCTCCAGCCCCTCCCGCCACAGCTGACGGTTCGACTCGTTCCGAGTGGCTTTCTCGTGACGATACTGCCCGCTTAGCCATTCGCAACCACCTGCCGGTGGCCGAATGTACCCACTTTGGACAGAACAGGACAGCACAGGCCCTGTACGACGCTGTCGTTGCTCGCTAATCCTCCCCTGCCACTACTGCTCAGGGCAGACTACTACTGCCCTACCTGTTCCCTGAGCTGTTGGCTTTTGCCACCGTAGCGGACTTGGTTACCCACCTGCGCACTAGCGACGCTCGCTACCGCGCTACCGTCCCTGCTGAGTTCCTTGCAACGAACCAGCCCCCCATGTTCATCACCCTCTACTTCATAGTCTCTCGCCTCCCTGACTCTCTTCGCTCTGTCAGGGACCACTTTCTCTCCCTTGACCCCACCTCCCTCACTGTTGACCTCCTCGAGCAGCATCTCCTCGCAGCTGAGACTAGTGCAGTTGCTGTAGGTGCTGCTCGTGGCACTCCGCGCCCGCCCTTCTTTGAGGGGTGCTCCCCCTCTCCCCTTTCCCCCTCCTTCGCCTCTGCTGCTGCTGCAGACGTCTCTGTTCCTGAGGACGTCGGTGCTGCTTTGACTAGTGCGAAGCGCCGCAGCAGCAAGGGCAAGGGTGGCTGGGGTGGTGGAGGTGGCAGCGGTGGTGGTGGAGGTGGCAGTGGGAGCGGTGGTGGGGGCAGCGGTGGAGGTGGTGGAGGCAGTGGAGGTGGTGGTGGTGGTGGGACTGGTGGCGGCAGTGGGAACTCTGGTGGCCGCGATGGAGGCAGCGGAGGGAGTGGCGGCAGTGGAGGCGGTGG